AAATCGGAGTTTGTGGAGAGGTCGCTTTGGAATCGTGGAGATTTGGGGGACTCCGGGCACAAGGGGTTTGGGGGGTTCCTGGTGTGGTTTGGGGGTTTTGGGGGGGGTCCCGTGTGGGGCACAAGGGGTTTGGGGGGGTCCTGGTGCGGTTTGGGGGTTTTGGGGGGGTCCTGTGTGACACGTGAGGGGTTTGGGGGGGGTCCTGGGGTGGTGCATGAGAGGGTTTGGGGGATTTTGGGGGGGTGTTGTGGGATGGACGAGGGGTTTGGGGGAGTCCTGGTGACCCCACCATGCCCTGCACAGGGATTTGGGGGGGTCCTGATGACCCCAGTGAGGATTTGGGGGGCTCCCGATGTCCCCAATGAGGATTTGAGGGGTCCCAATGACCCCACCCCAGATCTGGGGCTCTCCTGATGTCCCCAGTGAGGATTTGGGGGTCTCCCAATGTCCCCAATGAAGATTTGGGGGTCTCCCGATGTTCCCAATGAAGATTTGGGGTCTCCTGATGTCCCCAGTGAGGATTTGGGGGTCTCCTGATGTCCCCCATGAGGATTTGGGGGTCTCCCGATGTCCCCAGTGAGAATCTGGGGCTCTCCCAATGTCCCCAATGAAGATTTGGGGGTCTCCCGATGACCTCAATGAAGATTTGGGGGTCTCCCGATGACCTCAATGAAGATTTGGGGGTCTCCCGATGACCCCAATGAAGATTTGGGTGTCTCCTGATGACCCCAATGAAGACTTGGGGGTCTCCCGATGTCCCCAGTGAGGATTTGGGGGGTCCCAATGACCCCACCCCAGATCTGGGGCTCTCCTGATGTCCCCAGTGAGGATTTGGGGCTCTCCCAATGTCTCCAATGAAGATTTGGGGGTCTCCTGATGTCCCCAGTGAAGATTTGGGGCTCTCCCGATGACCCCCCCGGGTTTGGGGGCAGCTGGGGGGTCCGGCTGCCCCTCTGAGGCCGCGCTGTCCCCGCAGACCAACATCCCGTTCCTGCAGAACGTTCTGGCACACCCGCAGTTCCTGGCGGGCGCGGCCGACACGCAGTTCATCGACGAGAACCCCGAACTGTTCCACCTGCGGCCGGGGCAGAACCGCGCCCAGAAACTGCTGCACTACCTGGGTGGGGCTGGGGGGGTCTGGGGGGGTCTGCATCACACCTGGGGGGCTCTGGGGGTCACCTGGGGGGGTCTGGGGGGGTCTGGGGGTCACCTGGGGGACTCTGGGGGTCACCTGGGGGGCTCTGGGGGGCTCTGGGGGGCACCTGG